TTATTATTTTCTCGCGTGTAAAATATTTTATTCTAAACTATTCCTTTCACTTATCACCACTCTTTGGCACTTAAATTTATATCAATTGACCTTTTGCCTTGTCGATAAGCTCATATTGGTTTCTATACAAGGGTACAAGGTGCTACAAATAATATTTAACATCATGCAAAAATTTCTTTCTTTGTTGAGAAGTTAAATTTGGAGGTAAAAGCTTACTCACAACAAAGTTGACATAGTCAACATAGTATGGTAATTTCTTATGACCAACATGCAACAATTGTTCATTAGGGAAAATTTGGTTTATCAAAGTCGCATCCTTACCTTGGTTGTCATTTTCTAACATTGACAAATGGTTGGCTACTTGATTTTCTAAACCTTTTCTATCTCTAATTTCGAAATCAAATTCTTGTAACAGCAAAGCCCATCTTATTATGGCTTGCCATCCTTTTTAGTAATCAAATACTTAATGGCAGAGTGGTTGGTATAAACAATAACCTTAGTGCCAATCAAGTATAAGTAAAATTTGTCAAATGCATACAAAACAACTAATAGTTTTTTCTTAGTGGTAGTGTAGTGCATCTGAGTTTTAGCCAAGGTTTTACTAGCATAATATATATAATGAAAAGTTTTATTTGCTCTCTATCCTAACACCGCACCTATAGCATGATCTCTAGCATCACACATAAGTTCAAATGGGAGTGACTAAACATAAACTACAACAATGGGTGTAGATGTCTATTTTTTTTTTTCAATTCTATAAATGCAGCATGACTTGCATCATTAAATTTAAATGGAATGTCTTTTTCTAAAAGATTGCACAAAGGTTTTACAATTTTGGAAAAATCTTTAATGAATCATCGATAAAAATTGGCATGTCCAAAGAAACTCTGAATACCTTTTATTGAGGTTGGTGGTGGAAGCTTCTCAATGGTCTCAATCTTGGGTTTGTCTACCTTCAATACTTCGCTTGACACCTTGTAACCAAGAACAATGCCTTTTTGTACCATAAAATGGCTTTTTTCTCAATTTAAAACTAGGTTTGTATTTTCACATCTTTGTAATATCCTATCAAGATTGAGCAAATATTTATCAAAATTATTGCCAAAGATTAAAAAATAATCCATAAATATCTCTATGATTTTTTTCACCATATCTGAAAAGATAGACATTATGCATCATTTAAATGCGGTTGGGGCATTACACAATCCAAATAGCATTCATGTAAATGCGAGCGTACCGTAGAGACATGAAAATGTTGTTTTCTCTTGACCTTTTAGAGCTATGACAATTTGATTATAGCCTAAGTATCCATCCAAGAAACAATAGTATTCTCTTCCAACTAACGTATTCAACATTTGGTCAATGAAAGGTAAAGGAAAATGATCTTTTCTTGTGGCCTTGTTTAGCTTTTTGTAGTCCATGCATATTTTCTATTTAGTGACTATTCGTGTGAGAATAAGCTCATTATTTTCGTTAGCCACATCTGTCATCCCACCTTTTTTAGGTATGCATTGCACTAGACTTACCCATTCACTAGTTGAAATAGGATAAATGATGCTTGCATCTAGCCACTTGATTATTTCCTTTTTAACTAATTCCTTCATAAATGGGTTCAATCTCCTCTGATGCTTAATAGTGGCTTTATGATATCCTCCAACAAAATTTTATGCATGCATGTTAAAGGACTCATCCCCTTAATATTAACTATTGATTACCTTAATGCCTTTTTATGTTCTTTCAAAACTCCAAGTAACTTTTCTTCCTATTTATTGTCAAGATCAAATGCAACAATAATTGGAAAAGTAGATTAGTTTCCAAGATATGCATGCCTTAAATGTTTTGACAATTGTTTGCATTCTAACTTAAGAAGATCCTCAACGAAAGGTTTCACTAGTGAGAATAAAGAGGAAAACAAATCTAACAATTCAAATCAAGTTCCTAATACTCGCAATGGGGCATTCAATACATTAACACATTATTTAACTTTTTCATTACTGAGCTCAGATTCAGAAATCAATGATGCTTCAAGTGGGTCATTAGGATGATTTTCCATGAAGAATTCACTTATGGCCTTATCTACCACACTAATTGCAAAACACTCTTCGTGATCATTAGTGAACTTTAAACCACAAAGATATTAAATGTTACCTCTTGATCTTGTACTCACAAGGTAAGTTCTACCTTTTCAACATCAATGAGTGCTTTGGCTGTGCGTAAGAAAGTTCTCATAAATGTTTACAAATCCCCTAATTACTCAGGCCTATGGGGTAATGTGGGTAACGAGACAGGATTTGTGAAAGTGATTTTGTATGTTGACAATACTCTTGAATTGAGATATGTGAATGTAAATGAGTCAGTTTCCACCTTTTTATGATTCAGGTGGATGTCATAATTGTTATTAATACTTGATTTGGGTATGATCTTTTATGAACCTTAAATTGTAATGTGATTGGCATTAGTCTTGGTGTAAGAGTAAGAATACCATAAGGTTAAGGTTGATGAGTGCACCATCTTTTCCCTTTATATGGCTCTAGTCTTGGTATGGGGGTAAGAATACCACAAGAATAAGATTAGCTAATATGCCACCTTTTTTTCATTTTTATGTTGGTTCTAGTCCCTGTGTGAAAGTAAAAATACCATATGGTTAAGTTGGATATCATACCACTTTCCCCCTTAATGATTCTTAGTATGGGATTAAGAATACCACAATGATGAATTAGGCAAAAGTACCCATTCTCCCCTTAACTTTTCTAATGGCATGCATTAATATCTTATTTGTATATTAAATATTGTGACGCCTAAAAATGACGACTTGTTGACTATTGTGTCTATATGAAATTATGAGATAAAATACTATATGTGTGTTACATTCTTGACTTGGATGTTTAATGATGGACTTTAAGGTTCGACGATAAATTCTCTTTTTCTCCTTATAAATAATTTGTAAATTGAATATTTATATGGATATTATATTTTATGCATAATGAGTCTCAAATGCAATTATGGTTATTGAAAAGATTTATATGATTATCATGTTGTTTTGCAAAGTATAGTTTATTACAAAACTCTTACCCTTTGGCTTATCTCTTTCCCTATATTCACTCATAGAGTCTTTATAACTCACTCGTTCCTCTATTTTGTTTTAGATTAGTAGCTTGCTTGGTTAGGCAACTCGTGGAGTAGTAACCCAATTCATTTCGTGGTAGGTGTGGTAAAGCTTTCTTTCCAACTTTCCAATGTTGTTACACTTCGTAGTGTGTCGAGTCGAGTTTTTAAACTACAATGTTGATATTGAACATGGTCATGTAAATAATGTTGATATTACATTTTTGTATATTATATTGAGCCCCGAGTATAAGAGCATGTGAATGATAAAATTTTGGTAAATGATCCATAACAATATAGGCACAAGATGTGTGTCGAACTATAATTGTTTAACATGTGAATATTTACATGAAATGAGATAAAAACCATACCTTATGTTGAGAAGTTTTGTAACGTTCTGATCTTGATGAATTATTTACGTATTCATAATTGTTGATGGAATTATATGTGAATGCGATGGATGACCAGCCCATGCTATATTAAGTAAGCTTAAATCAATAATACTCAATGATTGGTGTAGACAAACAAAATCACGTATACACACACACACACATACATTCAACACACATGTAAAATATATGCATTATCTATGCATTTAGATGTTTTAGCAAACATCTCCAATGTGAGGGCATATCATAATCCTCAAGTCTCCAAAGATCATCACACTCATCATTAGGCTTACCTTCGAAGCTAATCAAATTATTCAAATCATTAAGGCAAATGGCATCAAAACATTGCAAACGTCAATCACAAACAAGATAAATACCACCGTTCTTACTTACCATTATCCTTACAAGCACACAAAGGTCACAGGGGAACAAATGTTCATTCAACCATAAATCAGATCAACATCCAAAATTCATCCCTTAGAAGTATACACAAATCCACAAATAAAGGCATCATGCCTCTATCATTCACATTTTCCTCATTAAACCTCTATTCACATTTATCGAGTTTCAATCATCTTAAGGCAACGTATTGATACATTTTCATCTTTAACCAAATTTATTGATACATTTTTGAATGTATCGATACAGTTCCTCCAGACACCGCATATTATTCTTCCTGTCAAGAATGTATTGATACATGGGGGTATTTATTGATACATTTCCCCCTATAGGCAGTTTTAAACTTCTAAAACTTTCAAAAATCTAAGTTTAACACCCTAAAATCATTTCCTGTTAATGTCACACCTCAAATCATTCATTTAACTTAATTCCATACGTACACAACATCAAATATAGATTAAAACCTTAAACTAAGGGATTTATCACATTTTTCCTCAAAATTTGCCTTAGTGTCTATATGTGCATTTGGCAAGCATAGTGTATCATCCAAAATCTTCAAGGGTTCACATATTTATAAATCATTCTTAGTTCACTTAGTTTACACCGAAGGTTAGGGGTGTACAAAGATCATATCCAAAAAAAGATCCTTTTATAGCAGCAACAATGCAAGCAAAGATAAAATAGTTAGTAATTTTGTACTCATAGAGATGAGCTCTCTTCAAAGTCCCCATATTGCCACCAAACCCTCCACCAACCATGTCTCCAATCTCCTCTTTCTCTCCCTCCATTCCTTTTCCTCCAGCTTTGTCTATGTTTCTTATTAGCAACCTTTGAAAAATGCAATGATAAAAGGAAAAGAATAGTAGAACCCTTGCTATTACAGATAGAAGTGGTGAAGTTGATTGGAAGAACTAGAGATTCATGAATTTATTTAAAAAAGAAAAAGAAAAATTAGGATAAAGATTAAGTAAGTAAAATTTAAATTAAAAAAAAGAAACGGAGAATTATCTAAAAATTGGAAGGAGATTGGAAGGGAAGGTACAAAGCTTCAATTGCATCCAGAGTCATGATCTCTTTCTCTTTGTGTTCCAAATTGCTACTTTTTTGTCAATCAACTCGGAATATTCAGTCCAAACTTTAACACAAAATTCGAGAAGTCGAAGGTTGAAAAAATCCTAAATTATTTTGAGTTCAATTTGTTTTATTCTTTCTTAAATCCTAAATCAGATGATTTAGTTTGTATGGGAACATAATGTTTGTTTAACAAATTTGAGAAGAAGGTAATTAAGTTTTTTTATTTTTAAATCCTAAACCAATTATTTTTAGACATGTGTTTAAGCAAAAAGGTGAGCACATGAATCATAATCAGCAAACTTTAATGTCATATTATCTGCCATGTGGTAGTGACGCCATTTAAATTTTTATTTGACTCAAAATAAAAAGTATAAATGTTTATTTGGCTTTAAATAAAAATATAGAGGCTTGATATTTTGCTTAAAATAAAAGTACAAAAACTTGATTGAATTTAATAAAAGTATAAGGGTTTGTTGAATTTTTTTAAATAATTTAAAAATTTTTTAGATACTATACCAAATTTAATTTATTTTTTATGAATTTATTTAATTTATTAATTTAAATTTTTATTAATAATATACATAAAAAATTTATTTTAAATTTAGTTTAATCGAATATTTAATAATATGAGTATTTAATAGGTAGTGTACAAGTTTTGATAATAATTCAAAATTTTAATTGAGTATTTATAGAGTTTGAATATCTTATTAAAAAAAAAGATTTAGGTTCAAATATCTAAAAAAGTAACAGATACCATACCAATTAATACTCTGAATTAGGTAAAAGATAATTTAGTTAATAAAATTTCCTAGATTCTTCTGGATAGGTCTTGACCTTGAAGGTATGTTTGTTTAGCCCGCAAGTTTCCTTGAAAATTCATTTGAGTCAAACTTTATTTTTTCCTTAATTTAGTGGGTCACTTCCCTGGTGTTGTGCTTTTATATATTTATTTTTCTTTAAAAAAATTCCTATCAATTCCCAACAAGAAAAGAAAAAAAAAACTCAAATAAAATAGGAAATAATACAGGATACCTTAAAAGCCCACGAAAGATGAGCGTTAGGCCGGGTCTTTTAATTACTTTTAACATGTCTCTCTCTCCATAAGACGGTGTCGTTCGTCTTCTATAAATATACCCTCTCTCACACTTCGTCTCCAACTTATTATTTCTGCATCGAAACGTTCCCTTCATACATCTTCATCTCCTGTTTCCAGAAATTTCTGGTAAGTTCGAACCTCAAGAAAAATCTATTATCAAATTTCCATCTTAATTTTAATCTGTAATCATATGGCGTTCTTAGATTTGACTGAAGTTTTATCTGGTACCGATTGATTCGGCTCACTTGTCGTATTTTTTATGGTTGACCGTTGACCCGTATTTGAGAAGAAGGGGAATAATTTTCTTGTTTTTGGTTAATCTCTAATCTGTGCTTTAGCTGCTTTGTATTAGGGTAAAAAGTTGATTTCTTTGGCATATATGATCATAATATGATCTGGGTGTGTTTTAATGTTCTTGAATTTTTGTTTTTGACTAATTTTTCATGCTTAATTGAATAAAAAAAAGTAGGGAGAAAAAAATTTTAGACTGAAGAATTTAAGTTGTTGCATTATTTTGGCGCTGTAATGTGTTTATATCTATGACTTTTGATCTCATAAATTGAATATGATTATTATCTAGGGATTCAAAGAGTGCTGTTTTGAGGTGTTGAAAAAAGGCAGATTTTTAAGATAATTGTTACTGATAATTTTAAGATCCAAAAAATGCCAAAGGATAGAAGAGTTCGTTCCTTATCTTTTGATCGCTCTAGGGTATCTCCTTACCCTTGTAGTTCCAGGGATGCCAAGCAATGCCAACCTGAGAATTCATTGGGATTGCGATTTGGATCAGCCAAGGATGTTAAAGGGTGGGAGGATGCAAGGTGCCCCATCTGCATGGAACACCCGCACAATGCGGTACTTTTTCGGTGTTCTTCCTTTGAGAAGGGCTGTCGGCCTTTCATGTGCAATACAAGTTACCGCCATTCAAATTGTCTTGACCAGTTCTGTAAGTCATCTGTGTCATCTCCTTCTACCGCAATGTTGCAGGAAATTCATTTGCAAAACACGACCTCTATTTCTCGTAGTTGGAGGGATCCGGCACCTTTTCATGATCAGGCAGGGGCTGACGGTGGCTTGCAGCCAAAGCTTGTTTGCCCTCTCTGTCGAGGGGAGATTTATGGCTGGAGTGTAGTAGAACCTGCTCGACAGTTTATGAATTCTAAAGCCAGGAATTGTTCTTCTGAGACATGTGATTTTAGTGGGACTTATGGTGAACTCAGGAAGCATGCTAGGTCTGAACATCCTTTGGTCCGACCAAGGGAAGTGGACACGGAACGACAGCGTGATTGGACAAGGTTGGAGCGTGAAAGGGATTATGAGGACATGCTTAGCTCAATCCAACAAGTTGTTAGGGCAGATTGCGATGGAGAAAACATTCCAGATCTCGATGACTTTCGTTCTTGGTTGACTCTAAATCTTGCATACTTGACACTTGCACTTGAGTTAATCAGTGATCCAGGAAGAACAGAACGAGTAGAATATGGGAGACCAGGAGTTAGTATGTCTAGTTTCGTGCAAGAAACTAACCGTGCTAATAGGGAGCACAATAGTTCTGTACCAGATGGAGGTCTCCTTGGCCACCGCAACAGTTCTTCACTAGGAGAGAGATTTCAAGGTAGACACCGCAGCTCACAGGGCATGCTCCTGCCGAGGCATCATAGTTCAACATCGGAGAGCAATTTCCAAGGAAGGCGCCAGAGTTCACAAGCAGACAGAACACGTCGTGGTCAAGGATTGTTATGGCGAGCACAGGGTTCAGATACAATCAATAATAGGCAGCAATAGGAGCACCTTGTTGATGTGGTTCTGAAGGCAGATAAAATTTTTGTGTGCTTGGTTGTAATGGTAAGTATTCCTTTCTCTAGCTTCTTTTATGTCCTTTTTTAGATGATGGATTAATTTTGTATTTTACGCTTTTTGCTGCATTGCAGGTGGAAGCGAAAGCAGGAGGCAAGGGTTATAGTTAAGGTGGATGAAGTCATGTTAGATTTGGAAGTGAAAATGCAGTCATTATTGTCGTCTTTTCTTTCTCATCGAATCAATGGCTAATGTAAAGAATGTGAATTTTCTCAGTGGAAATGTTACTCAGTTTTGAAAGAATTACATCTTTTTACTTTTAATTGAAAATGCTTTCAGTTAAATCATACTCTTTGATTGAAAATGGTGGGGGGCTTGCTGTGCACGGATGCATGGAGTGTTAGTAGATAAGGTAATGTACTTACTTTGATTAACAAGGGGACGGCAATGAATGGATGGATTTACGAATTACTTTTCTTTTCTTTTCTTTAAAAAAAAAAACAATTTTCTTATTCTATTCCTATTTGTTTTCATCTAATATCTGGTATGTGGAATATGAAGGGCGAAATATATATGGCGGAGCAAATCCAATTCAATAAGACAAAGCTACCTTCAAACGGTAACTCACATAATTTATATAATTCAATTCAACCCTAGGAAGCATCAATGTAATCTTCAAATCGATTTAAGTGTCATGTACAAATGGTACTAAAATTTTGAATATCGAAAAAATTGAATTCATCTTATGTAAAAATTGAAGTAAATCGAATCAAACCGATAGAAAATTGAACTATTTTGAAACTGAAACAAATTTTTTGCAATATTTTATCAAATTCTAAGTAATATATCTATATATAAATTTCAAAATACTCAAGTAAATCTAACAACATTTTAAATTTAATACATCACATTGAATAATTTAAAAATTAAAAAATAAATTAACATATATAATAATTTAGATTTCTATTAATTCAAATTTGATTGAGCCATCAAAACTTTAATCTAACTAATCCAAATCGAACACTTCAAAAACCATTCTAATTGAAAAAAAAAACTCAAATTTCAGCAAAATCTCCATAAATTACTATCTTTCGGACCATGAAAATTTATTAATTAATTAAAATATTATTTAATTGATAAATTAATAATTTATTGATTTATACATTAATTAATAAAAAATTAATTTATCAAGGTAGTCTTTATTTTTTTTCAAAACATTGAATTTAATATATGTATTGTGTCTTGTGATTATACAAATATTACCTAATTACCGAATTACAAATTATCATTGTTCTATATATTTGTTTAACCAAAACAAGGTCATGAATGTAATTAATTTTATTAAACAGTCGTTATGAATTTATCCATTTTTGTAACAAATTAAAATTACATTCGATATATACTTGATTAATACACTTCATGAACATTAAGTCAAGTAAAAACATTTATAAAAATAATATACAGTATCACAAATAGAAAAACTAAGCACAATAACTTGTTGAGATGTAAAGAAATTAACAATAACAAATAAAATACGTAAAACATTATGTGAGTAAAATATAGGAAATCTAAATTGTACCCAACAATGATTGTTAGAAAAGTTTAACTTGCAATTAAGCCAAGCAACAACATCAAATATGGTCAAGATGCACTCAAAGTAACAATCACATATATATAATTTTCTCTTGCAATATAAGAACACTACACTAGAATTTTTTAATGCAATAAGAAAAGTTAGAAATTAAGTCTAAAGAGACATCAATTTCAAAAAAAAAAAATAATATCGGAGTCATATATTACAAAAGTATCTTAATTGAGTCATATATATAATTTTAATATATAAAGAGATTATTAATTTGTATATCAAGTGGGATCTATGTATTTTTTAAATATATTATCTTATAAATTTAATGAATTATTAATTTATCACGTTAATCTCAAAGTTAGGACTGATCAAAAATATTATTTAATTAAGATTTTACTATACTTCAGCACTTTTTCGGTTCGCTCCACATGTATCACCTTTGTATATTCAAAAATATGAAGCTTAAAATATAAATGCACCCTTTATCACTGAAATTTAACTTGGTGTTGCTTTTTCTTTCCCTTGAAGTTTCAAAACTTAGAATTAAACACTTTCTGTTTGTTACAGCAACACATGATGATATTTGGAGTTTGAGAAAATAAATTAGCATTAAAATAATCGTGAAATGTTATGCAGGAATTCACAATATGTGCAAAGACGATTAAATATTATAAAGATTGCTCCTCTTTTAGGATGGCCGGACAGGGCTTATTCTATTGGTTCAAGGCAAGCTGGGATCGAAGGTGTCCTACAAGATAATCTTGGTGCGATTAACGCTAAATTTTCGAAGGTGGTTGGAATTGGTGATTTGAATTTGACAAAATTAGTAGCTATTTATGAATTTTTTCTTATGTTTTGTGTCTTTTGTATAATTTAATTTTACTAAATTATAGGTTAAGAGTGACTCAATTAATGCAATATCGTGACCTACTTGTCATGAAGAGACCTTAGACTGGACAGTTGATTATCAAGTTTGAGCAGTTGCAAGAAAGAATTAAATCAGTGAAAAATTAGACATGTCTTAGGTGAGGCCAATAATACATGTTGCTGATATTCTTGCAAAGGAGTACTAATTTATTTGAAGCTTATGAGTAAGAGTTGTCGTAACGTGCGAGTTTGAAAATTCGATCGTTAGACATAGAAAAATGTTGAGAGTCACCACTAATCATTTTTACCTAGGTGCGATTAACCATGTATTAAATTTATTTTATTTGATAGAATCCTAAATTAATTTTAAATCCATCTAGAGAACAATAAACTGGTTTGCAAATTTTTAGAGTTGGATTCGAGAGTATGGTTACGCACAAGGAAAGATTAGCATCCTCGTAATGCCCATTCCATGAACGGTACCATTTAATCATATGTTATCCTATTATAGCCTAAACCATTGATTTTATTCTTATGTTTCCCTAATCCTTATTTATTTATTTATTTATTTATTTATTATATTGGGAAATTAAATATTTTTATTCAATTTTACGGGTGCACATGATGTAATTATGAAATGATCTGATGATTTACCAATTTTAAATAATGAGCGACAAAAACCTTATATCGAAAAATCATTCGTAGACCATCCCAACGCTTTGGTAAAGTTTTGAAATTTTCCTTACCTGGAGATATTCCCTGAAGAACTCGTCTCTACAAGTCCTTCGAGGAAATCCCATCATCGGATGCTATGCCAAGATAAAATTCGTAAATGATGTTAAATGAGCACGCTTATAAATTTAACTTAATTGATATATATATATATAGTTCTTTTTTTAAATGGGCTCCATGCATAAGACGTTTCAGACAATAGACTTCTCCATAATTTTAATTATTTTTAGCCAAGAGAATTAAAATTTCGACAAAATTGCCCTTAATTGAATCGACCCATTTATTTGGCTCCATGTCTCAACCCGAAACCTATTAATAGGTCAAGTATATTTGGGTCTATACCTCAAACTGACTCATATTCTTTGAGCTTTCCTCGTCAGATTATTCATCTTTAGAGTATTCCTTACTAGAAAGAAAAACGTTTAAGCATTTTGAGTATTTTGGAATAGTTTTTGATACACGAAGAAAATTTTTAAGTGTTTTGAACATTTTTAAGTATTTTGGAATAATTTTTAATATATAAAGAAAAACTTTTGAACATTTTGAGTATTCTTTGTCAAGTAAGCATATTTGTTAATTATATTGTAAAATAGAATATAGTGTATCATTTGAAGTTGTTGATCTTGTTAAATAGAATTCAGTAATTTTGGTGATTTTTGGGCATTGCATAACTAGTTTTTAAGCATTGCGTGATTGACTTTGAGTATTACGTAACTAATTTTTAGGTATTGCGTAACTAGTTGGTAGGCATTGCGTGACTTATTAGTTAGGCATTGCTTAAAAATCAATCACGCAATATCTAAAAACCAGTCACACAATGCCTATAACCAATCATGTCATACTTAAAAACTAGTCACGTACTAATTAAATCACGCAATGCTTAAAAATTAGTCGCGTAATACTTAAAATCTAATCTAATCAATTTCAACTTCTCAACTTTGGGGTTCTATGGTTATATGAATAAACTAATAAACTCAAGAACTTAAAACACATACTTTTTTTGCTGATAAGCCACGAAATTGTGCATTTCATAAAAGATAGGTTACAAAACTCCATAATCCTCCAAAGCAAGACAAATTATATCCCTATCGGGAAAGCTTTACGCACTTTCCTTATGCAAAAACAAAACATACTTCCTTTACAAAATATTCTCTTGATAATTTCAACTTAAAATCCGCAACAAACATATTTAATAATCATCCTAATCCTAGGCACAACAAAACCGTGAACTACTATAAAATCCATCAAACATGTTTTAGCTATCTCTTCTCCGTGAGCCCATCATCTTAACCAATCCGATTCAACTCACCAACATAGACATTTCTATTGCAACACAAGTTTCGAAGTAAGTCATCACTAAAAAGCATCTAGTTACCACATTCATTATGCTGTCTGCAATCACCATAGAAGAGCAAAATCGTTGTTTATCACCTTTGAAAACCCCAAGATCCACCATCCAAAAAGAAAAACAAAATAAGAAAGAGCTTGATGTCATCTTTGCTTTTTGAATGGCAAGATAGACAGTATTTTACCAAAGAAAGAAATCGAGATTTAATTTTGAAATTTTTGTTTGAATGGCAAGATAGAGAAAATTGAAACCATTTTAATTATTTGAAATTGTTTAAAGGGTATTGTTGTCAAGTCATGTCAAAAATTGGTTAAAAATAGTTAAAATTATAAAAAAAGATATTTTTGAATTGGGCTTATGAGAAAGGTTATTTCTCATAATTTCCTCATATATATATTTTGTAATTTAATACAATTAAAAATCTCATTTATTTTTAGTATATATATTTTAAAAAAAGATTTTATTTTAGTCAATAATTTTTAATTAATATTGTAAGTCGATATTATTTTATTTTATTGAACTATCTTTTTGAATAACCAACTAATCTTTTATTTACAATAATTGTTTAAAGTAATTCAATAACTATATCAATTTTAATTTAGTTAGAACATTATATGAATTTATTTCTTTATGGATTCTATTGTAATTGCTTGAATTAATCGGAATATCGGAATAAAAAATTAAGATTTATCCTAACACTTCAAAAAAATCCTAATTATATTCCGTTTCTAAGAAAGTTATCTCGAAAATAGCAACTCTTTGTCTTTTCAAATGAAATTCCATTATCGGAATTAATCCAAAGCAATCCTACTATTTTAATATTTATAATTTTATATTATATCATACTTTTTATATTTATTCATACCAATATAAATTTGTGTAGTTAAATCTTTTATTTCTCTTACCTGCCTAACCTATTTTCATTTATGATTAAATATATTTTTCTTATATTTTCTTTCACCTAATAAATCTATTTCTTTATAACTAGGTATTTTTTATTTTTCCTATTTATGTTTCTCTCTCTTTTTACTGAATATTTATTTATTTTTATATTTTACCTCAACTAAACTTATTCTTTTGTAGCTAAATATTTTTTATTGTAAAATAATAAAATAATAAAATAGATTTATATAAGTAGAATATATATATGGGGAAAAAACAAATGTCTCAAAAATGTCACGTCATTGTTAACGTGACGTTAGATGTTGACATGACATATAAAAAAAGTTTCAATTATTGACGTGGTAGTGTCATATCAACATGTCAAAAGTGACATGGCATTGCCACGTCACATTATAGATATGAATTGTTGATGTGGCACTCTTCGATATTGACATGTCGTAATTTATTCTTTAAAAAAATCACTTGTTAAGATTTGAACTCAAGACCTCTGGTGAATAAAATAATATTTTTACCATCAAACTTAAACTCTTATATTTAATAATATCTCGCTTGAATTTTTTTTTTTCATATTTTTATCTTTATTTTTATAAAACTATGTCATTTTAGAGTCTTCTTATACTCTCAAAAATTATAACCATAAAAACCCTTAAAAACTTTTTCCTCAAAAGACATAGTTTTATAGAAAGAAAAATAAAGAAGAAAGAGAAGAATGATTCAAAACGTCATAGTTTTAGAGAAAAAAAGAAAAAAGTAAGAAAAAAAATTCAAATAAGATATTATTAAATGTAAGAGTTTAAGTATGATGATAAAGACATTGATTTATTTGTTAAAAGTCTTGGTTCCAATCTTAGCAAGTGCTTCTTGTGAAGAATAAATTACAATATGGCAGCCTTTTGACATGCCAAATCAATAATTCATATCCATAGGGTGACAATTAAGAGATTAAAATGTTACGATTTTGAGTTAAGAGACTAAATTAAAAAAATACTCTAATACAGAGACTTTTTAAATATTTTGATCCATTTTTTGTTATATATATATATATTGTTGGATTATGGATTAAGTTTAATGATCCAAGTTAATTGAATCATTAGTACCATATAAGCAAGATTTTTTCTCAATTGACCATCAGAATTACATAGTAATAGTTTTTCAGAAAACAAACCATCATGTAAAGAAAATGAACTTGAATCCCTTTGCACTTGAAATGCTTTCAAGGTACATATGTTTTGAATTATCTTTTCCTGAGGTAAGTCTTAACCTTTTTTATATTATACAACAATTATTGTTATTAAATTAAAAATAAAAATTCCAGAAACAAACACACGCTTGAGAGGGACCTGAGTGCAATTAGCTATTTTTGGCGAGGCTATTCTCCAGTAAACTTCCCTTTGCTTCCGCCCTCTTCTCTCGTATTCCAAAGCCCTAAGCTTTTCCCGCTTGAGTGTTTTTGTTTTGCTCGCGTAAACAAATTTGATTTCCGTTGCCTTTTCTTTTTTGTGTTTCTCTTCTTCTGTTTTTGGTTTTCAGTTGCAGGTGACTAATATTACTTATTGAAATGGTGTAGATAATCAGAATAATCGGAAGCTAAGGGGTAATGGCTAGATTATTGTCAAACGCGGCCTTCAAAGGCATCGCCGGTCTCTCTGCTGCTCGCTCGAGAACAAAAGTAAGTATCCCAGATACTAATTTTATGTCATTATTAGTATTGTGTTTTTTCATTGCTTTCGTGATGTAGAACCGATTATTGGGTTTCCAAGCAGATACTTGAAGCGATTTCTTCTTTTATTTTTGGAAAAAACAATTAGTATTTTGGGAATAACCGGAATATAATTTTCATGAATTCTTTGTATGTTAGTGTTGGATCCGAGCAGATGAACAAACAAAAAGAAAAGAGAGAAAATTTTGAGCATTTGTCTAAACTGAACAAGCTTTTTGCTTTGGCTCGAGTTCTGTCTGATCGACAAGAAATCACAAGCTGCAATTTTATAGCAAGAGCTGAATGTGGCAGCTTAGCTCAATTTTTTGTCTGAAATTTAGTGTTAATTAATTATTGCTCATTCTGGATTTTCTCGTGCTATTTTAGAAGGTTATGATTTAGTTTATGCTGTTTCTAGGTGCTTGGATCCTTCTACCATGATGGGTTGAAATACTCGACAACTGTTCCCAGTGACCCTGATACACATGAAGATTTTAGACCCACCAATAAGGTTCAGGGTTCTCCTGTTTCTTTGAAAGATGTTGTTGAACAGGTAGGTGTGTCCTTTGAGATATTTTTTGTGTTATATAGATGAAGCATATTGGAACTTTTTGTTTCTTTATTATGTGAGCTGTAAGTGTTATTGATCATGATTAACTGCTACTCTAGGATGTCAAGGAAAATCCTGTGATGATTTACATGAAAGGGGTACCTGATTTTCCTCAATGTGGATTCAGTTCACTGGCAGTAAGAGTGTTGAAACATTACAGTAAGTGTTAATTTAATCACCTGAATTGTCATCCATTCTCTGTTTAGTTTTTGATTTCAAGGATAAGTCTGCATCTGTTGTTGTGTTTGTCTGTGTACACAATCCTCTTTAAATGCCTTTTTGAGGTCTGCTCCTTTAGATGAAAATTGTAAAAAGTGTTAACTTTTGAGCTGAATGAAAGAAAAGATTCAGTGTTTGCCAACCGATCCATTCGTGTTTGTTTTATCTTGGTGTAATTTTTTAAATTCTAATAGCAAATGAATTTAGCTGGTTTGTTTTCTTACCAAATTTCTGGCTGATGCAGATGTTCCTTTAAGTGCAAGAAATATTCTGGAAGATCCTCAGCTGAAAACTGCTGTTAAAGCCTTCAGGTAAATTGGCAATTGCTGGTGTTTTTCTCTGAAGGATAATTAAAGTATTAATATAAAACAAGCTCCCACTTAGTCTAAGGTGCTCTCATTTTTATGGTTTAGACGTGATCTTCCTTTTCTTTAAACTTTTTTTTTTTTTCATATTAAAAATATGTAGCTGAATTCAATTGTGTGAAGGCCATCAATTTAACACTTCAAACTTTTGGTACATAACTTGCTGGGTGCTGACACTCTGCAGTTAATGAAGCCTCTGTTCTGGGTCCTGGTGGGCTAATCAATCTTTGTTCTGTCAATGTTAAATGTAACAAATGCAAAGTAGTGAATCTCTTTCGGCTTATAGGTTTCCACTGGTCTTCACCCTAGAAATGACTGATCAAGTGTTAAAACTTTGATGCTTTGCCAGAATTTCCCTTTGTTCTTAATCCTTTTCTCTCTGTAGACTTGGGAAGTTTAGTGCTTATCATCTTTAACTTGTCTATTTTGGCTTTTTGTTGAAATAGAAGTAAATAAATACTGGAAAGAAGAACTATTTGATCTGGTATTCAATTTTCTCAGAAATAACTGAAATGCTTTTATTCTTATGCATTATCTTAGTTTGAACATTAGCATGCTATCCACCTCTAACATGCTCAGATGGGGAAAATATTTGTTTCAACGGTATTTTATGTGAAAATAAATCCTGGTCCAACTGATGCAATATCAATTTCTTGTCATCTCTCGCATTGGACTTTCTTCTCTGATAGATAAAATACGTGTTTTCGATAACTAAAAAGTTTATAGATATGGCACTGTGTGGTTTTGTAGAATAATTTCTACATGCAAGCATTCTTATTAAGATGAGATTATGAGTAACCTGTCAAATTCCACATTTCAATTTCAATTTCAAGCATTCTTAGATGTAAAATTTCAATTTCAAAATCTACACCTCACAAATGGTTAATTATTAGTCGAGAAGACTGGTGGTATTCAAATGGTGTGCTGCTCATTTACTTTTTATCAAATTTTTTTCTTGCAGCCACTGGCCCACATTTCCACAGATATTTATTAACGGGGAGTTCATTGGAGGTTCAGATATAATTCTCAATCTGCACCAGGTTTCTTTTTTGATATTTTGCCTCCCTTTGAGCATCTTTGGTTTACTGCATCTCTAATGCATGTGTATGCCCATGTGCAGAGCGGAGAACTGAAGGAAAAGCTCAAGGATATTGCAGCCAGCCCCAAGTCTGAATAAATCACTGTTGAAAGTGAAGATTGGAGTAGGTTATTAGAGCCTTTCTGTTTGCTCCTCTTCTTGATACCAAAAGATGTTAAGATGGATAGTTTCATATTTTATGTATCACGACCTTGAAAATTTTTAATAATAAGCTCATTGTTCAACATTATCTATGCTACTGTTACATTAAAAACTTTGCTTCTTGAAAATAGATTGTTTCTAAGTTGACTCCATACATCAAATGGAAGGTGAACAAGCTATTCTACCTAGCTGCTTTGCTTGTTGATTGAAACCAAACTTTAACTGCAAGCAAATAACTATGATGCCTGGGCAGCATGGTAGATCCCACTCTGTCTATACACATAACCTTGAGGGAAAAAGTTGTAAGATATGAGTAAAGCTCATTAATTGTTTTGAGCCAGTTACAAGAACCATACAAGAGGAGATTCATAATCTTTGGTCTCAAGTTACCAAGATTCAGACCCTCGGCAGAACTTGTCAATGTACGATTGTACATTACATGCAAATGCACGTGATAGTCGCAAAAAAATTATAAACCACAAAGAACCCCTAATTTTGCACAAGAAATTCACAGGATTAATTTTATATAAACTTGGTTTGTTTAAACATATAAAACAAACAATGAATTATTATCTCATTCTATTTATACAACTGACTGATACTTCCAATGAAGCAATAACAAAATTGTTGAAAGACACCCTGTGAAACCAAAGTATCATATGATATGCCTGCATCCGCTTGATTTGTCTGCTGCAACATGCACCTTGTGTTAAAACTGCTTAGTTTACATGGATGTCATCTTATCACCCTGGATTGCTTCTAGATGACTTGCCCAAGAGTACTTTCGAACTTCATGACTGCTGTAACAATGCATGATCCAAACATAGCGCGTTCTCATTTAGCTGATTAATGCTATCAGGGCCCAGGTTACAACAGAAAAAGCTGCAATTATCTTTCCTCAAAAGATTTTCAGCCAAGTTTCAACCAATTGAAGTATGCTCGATTCATTTCTTGTCGCTAACAGAGCATAAATATCGAAGCATATATTCATTGGAAGCACATGTATCAGCCAAATCCTGGTGAATTATGGTGATTGCCTTCTGTAAAGATTTTAAAGCAGGTAGAAGATTTCTGGAATTCTGCTGAATGGAGTTACCATGAACTTGACAGAGTTCCTGCAACAAAGCAACACCAAACCATGTCAGAAAAAAACACAAACCACCATCAGTTTTATATGGGAAACTGAAAGAAAGCTACCTGACACCAGCAAAGCACGAACTCCAAGTGTGGGCACCTTTCCAGAAGGTCCGCTAATGCCTCTATTAACCTTTGCAAATATCTGCAAGGGATTGATGAAGCAACTGCTGGAACATCAATCGGACTAACAGAGAAAATACACTTTTTAATTAGTGTATCCTCGTTCAAACGCAAGCTCAGAATTAAAGCTCTGCTTGGCTGATCTTCATTAAGTGCTGCATCAATGGCCTATATGACAATGCAGACAAAACCCAAAAATCAAAAGGAAAAATCACTTATTAGTAAATCAGAAGAAACATTATTGGTAAATTCTGTAAAACTAAAAGATGCAGAAAAGGAAAGTACCTCTGGCGTAACATCTATATCAAGATCCGTGGGATCAAAGATAAAGGATTCATCAATTGAATAAACAAGAACGCCCTCGGTTGTTGCTGCTGAAAAACTTCGTCCCGTGGGTGCAATTTTTAGGCACTTTGTTCGGACAACAGGCCTTCCATGATTAGGCATGGATCCTGGAAGATTATATCCCATATTTCCTCGGGTTTGTTTGTCAATACCTTCTTCTGTATCACTGTTATCATCATCAATCAAATCCAATGGGCCAGCTGCTGTCATATTCTTTGAGTTCAAAAAGTCAAGAACTCCATCCAAAGAGAGGTTATGAGTTATTTGAAATCGTCGAAGTAGAACCTGTTCCATATACATAATCGGGTTTACTTACATCCAGCATTTGGATCAAAGAAAAAAAAAACTGGATTCTAGATTGACAAAATAGCATTTGGTGGAAATTATCACCCAGAGGCCTGAACAATATATATCAAATGGAAAACTAAGGATGAGAGAAGAAAATATATAGCAAGGACTGTACAATGGTGGAGAAAGTATGTAATGCAAACAAGTGCGAAACATGCATCCATTAGTCTCTCTTGGTTCAGGACAACAAGAGTACAAGAAGAACATAAAATCTCCCCATAACCAACTCATGTTTCAATTAAAAAAGAGACTGTAATGCAAATCCTTCCTTCTGAATTAGATAGAAATAGAATTCTTTTATATGACAATTAGTGGTTGAAAACGATGAGCCTCGAAAATAAGAGCAGTATCTCATGATTACTTTCTTCTTTCCAGGGTGTAGGGTATAAATTATAAGGAAGCTAAGGATGGACAGGTTATACCTGTCAAAAGAAAAGTGGACAAGTTTAAAGTTCACAAAAAAATTACTTGCTATCTACATGGTTTTCAAACCATTTTCATCATTCATCATTCACACATTTGCAGAGAAATAACTAGAGCTCTATGGTATTATGCAGAAACTGACACCATAAAGATTCAAACCGCCAAAAGATTAAATAGTTTGACTGGCCCCTAAAATAATACACAAATGCAAGTTAAGTATGTGAACATATGTGTCAAATTAAATATATTTTTTTACACATAAATGCGTTTAAACTTACCTGATCAGCAACATCATACAGACAGATGAATCTGCTACTTCCTCCAGCTAAGATGTAACTCCCATCAGCAGAATAACATAAGGATGTGAAGCACTTTCCTGAACTTGAGTTAGCTGCTGATCTTCGATCGGTCATGAGACGTCCTCCGGCTATATCCCTACGACCCTCAATCGTGTACATTAACAAGCCATCAACAGGGTCCCAAAAATGAATCTGTCCATCTAATGTGCTGCAAGCCAATTGCTTTCCATCTGGACGATATGTAACTGTCAGAACATCATGTGCATGTGGAAACGTTTCAACAGTGCCTTTTCCTTCAAATACATCCCACAACCGAACAGTTTTGTCCCATGATGATGAAGCTAATATTGCCTAAATATAAAAAAGAACACCTCATTAATCAATAGGTATCATAAAAGCTAAAATCAGAAAAGAATAACGCTATATACACTTCATATAATCACAAGAGATAGATTCAATCCAAACATCAGAGATGAATGTCATAGTTTAGGCCAAATAATCGTAAATGACAAACAGCGGATAAACAATGCCATGCGAAGAAACAACTCCAGAATGTAAAATAGGATTGAAGGAGATTAATGGAAACCTAAACATACTGAATCAGCAGAAAAAGGTGAAGAAAAGTCAGCTCACATTTGTCGGAGAAAACATCAATCCGTGAACAGGACCTTCATGACCACTATGTACGTCCAATAAGCGACCCGTCTTCATTGACCAAACAAAAATCTGTAACAGGTGTTGTTGTAAAAAAATATATATATGAGAAGTGATCAATACTGACATGGGAATGTTAAAATAGAGCAGCATTAACCAGTATACCTCAAATGAATCTAGAGTTCCTGCACAAATCACTTCACCACTTTGATCGGCCGCCAAAGAAACAAACTGCCTAGAAGAAGGGGTAGTAAATGTTCTAAAATTTCGATAGCGCAACAGATCCCATGCACGAACAGTCCCATCCAGAGATGCACTTAAGAGGCAATGGTTATTAGCCATAAAATGGAGTGCAGTAACTGCATTAGTGTGCTCAGTGAAGGTTACAAAACAAAAGCCTGAGGAAACCGTCCATACCTGTGACAAGCAAAATAAAATTTTAAGATATGTTAAAGTGAAATACTGAAGAAGGACAAGCAGCAGCAAGGCAAAGGTGTAAACATAAGAATGAGCACAAGATTCTTAAAAGTTGCTAACTGCAACTATAACTACAAAAATAAAAAGCCAAAGATGCATCAACCAGGCAAGATCTAGCCATTTAAACATCTCTCAAATATTTATTTACCTTCACTTTGTTATCATCAGCTCCAGTAGCCAATAGTTGTGAATCTGGCGAATAAGCCAGAGTATTCACATCAAAGTAATGTCCCTGCTGCTTCAGTATATAACTCTCGGACCGCCACTCCCACACCAATAACTGCCCCAACTCTGCACAACCAAATGTCAACCAATTTCCAAGGTCATTGAACACAGCTGTTGTAATCTTCTCCCTCGATATCGATAACAAATGGATGCACACAAAATCCGGCATCTGATATAATCCAAAAACCCCATTTGAGAATCCCACCACAACAAGATCAAGCCCCCTGTGATAATCACAAGCAGTCAATTTTGCCGGAGCCTGCATAAAACAATGTTTCGTCAACTCCCATTCCCCTCCACTCAAATAATCCTCATCTTCACCAAAGCCACTTTCTTTACCATCAAAATCCTTCCTTTTCTTCACAATCCCTTCCCCATCCTTCTCTGGTGTTCCTGGAGAAGGTGGCTCGTCATCCTCCAGAACTTCATCTCTAAAGTCATTAATTTTACCATCATTGCCACTATAACTCCAACTAAAAATGAAACCATCACGAGCAATTGTGTACACCTTATTAACCCTATTACTCTTCTTATCAACACCAAAGAAGCAGCCAACAACCGAATCTTTATGCCCCAGAAACGAAAACGGTTTTTTATAACTACCCTTTACTTTATCCACAAAAAACAACCTCACAGTCAAATCTTTAGTCCCAACAATCAAATATTTTGATTCGTTATCCCAATCAATTGCCAATATCTTGTCATTGCAATCAGCAAAAGTTCTAACCAATTCAAACCCAAAAACTTCCCTTTTAAACCCAGGAGATTTCCATATTTGCAACAATTTACCTGCTGCCACGGCTACGTATTTCCCATTGGGGTTAAACTTGACGGCACTTACGGGATGCTTAAAAGTTATGCGGTGCAACACCACGCGCCGCGGGATGTTGATGAAGAGGCAACGGTAGTTGTCATCGACGGTGAGGAGGAAAACGCCGTCAGGTGAGGCAGCAATGCGGCGGATGTTGCTGGATGACTGGATAGGAAGGGTTACGGTTTGGGATTTGACGAGGTCGGTGACGGAGACGCGGTTGCCTAGGGGAGAGATTAGGTTGGTGTT